GTGTGAAGAAACATTGGAGCTCAAAGGATATTCAGCATCAGTCTTTTAAATGAACATTTCTGTGATAGTTGGCAGAACCCTCAATAAAAAAAGCAGAACATATATGAAAGAATGCACTTAAAAACCACAGAATTCTACAGTGACCAATATCAAAGGAGTGCACAAGTTGTACTAAAGGATATAGTTAAGCTACAACTATTTAAAGAGCAATGAAGCCAAGTCCTTGCTTCTACAATGCTCTTTGTTTTCAGAAGATCATATTTTTGCAATTGAAGATTTGGTTAGATATGCATCGGGACTAAAGTTGTTTAGCGGTAGAAAGACACTGAGTACAACCAAAGATAGGGTAAACGCGATTGTCAATAATATAAAAAGTTGCTATTTACAGCTCTCAGCTAAGAATGAGGAGCATGTAAAATTACATGATATTGTAAGAAATGTTTGCTTACAAATTGCATCTAAAGACAAGCATGTATATATGTTGGAACACACTAGTTTGAATGAGTGGCCAGAACATGATAACAACGAATTGTATGATGAAATTGGTTTGATATCGAATGGGCTGAATAACTTCCCAGTAGGTTAGAAATATCCAAACCTGAAGTTTCTAGGAATGATGTGCAGACAACAGTCACTGAGCATATTCGTATATTTTTTTGTCGATATGAAGGAACTCAGATTTCTTGATTTCACATGGATGAGGATTCAAATTTCGTCAACAATCCAATTGTTGACCAATCTTCGAACTTTGTGCTTGAACCATTATAAAATTTTAAATTTCAACTATTGGGAATCTGAAAAAGTTAAAAGTTCTCAATTTTTAATTTTATGGCTCTGATCTCGATCACTTTTTCGATGATATAGCAGAACTTAGCAACCTAAATCATTGGATTTGATGTTTAAACCCAGCTCTAGCTACTGTCCACTTCCACCTGGTATCTTGTGAAGCACCGACACGCTGTCGGCATCAACATATTTGTGTCCGACTCGTATTGGACATCACTACGTCTTTGACATGGTATTGAGGCTTGTCGGAGGTCCCTTGCGACAGTTTTTTGTTAGGAAGAAATGAAGAAGGCTTGGGCTGCTATGGCAGATTTGGTCAAGAAGAGAGAGATGTCAGGCGGCTGAAACTGAAGTAGGGTGGGCTGCTTCTTCAAGGGAGAAGAAAGCCTAATTTGTTAAGGGTTTTGCTGAAGTGACAGGAAGGCTCACTGCCTCAAGAAACCCCACAAATGATCCTCAGTTTTTGCTGCAAATATTACATGTTTTGTGCATTGAGATGCGAGAAAGATTTCATATCCAATTAACTGATTTTGAGCATGGTCGTGAGAACATCATGGAGAAATATTATTTCATTAGGGGCTTGCATATACGTGGCATTACTTTATGCAAGTATGCTTTCTCAACATGCAATTTACTCATTAATGAGGGGAAGTTACCATCTTACTCTATATATGTACACGGTGGAGAGGAAGAATATGTTCGATAGAGACAGAACAAAATGAAGTTTCCCAAATGCTTGAGTTCCCAAAACCACAGCAAGAATTTTTTTTTTCTTTTCGCAGTTTGTTTTAGAGGGAAATCGCCTTCACATTTAAAAGAAGTCCTGCTCATGGTATATGACTGTTTACAGAAAATTTATGTTTCGTCTAATAAGACTCAAAATGTTGATAGTTCAGAGAAGATTGCAAAATGAATTCCCAATAATATTTCTATTGCACCGAGGATATTATCACAATATCACTAGCTTGAACCACCCTACATACTACATGACTGAGGAATAAATTACCCAACCAAGGACATCGAGGCCCATTCTCAATCTGTGAAGGGAGTGCTTATAACTAGCATATTAGTCGTTCAAATTATAGTGTCTCCAAGCTTGACTCTAAATATGCTCTTATAGGTGTGATAATAACTATGGAGTCTGGAAATTCTACTTCTTACATTATACATTCATTTTTAGAAAATTATTCAAATATGCACATTAATATAGATACATGAATACATAGGTGCATTTACATATACGGGTATCATATATCCCCACCCCCACTTGTTCCCAGGCAACGAATTTCTTTGTTTGAGCGATAAAAGTATTTAGGTGAGTGAAATATGTGAAAATTTAAAGCATTTGATTTTGTGGCCTTTTACTCATGTTTTTTCCTTTCCAAGTATTTAAAAGTGTATAAATAGATAAGTAGGTCCATCTTAGTGGAAGAATACTTCTGATACAAGGTGAAAGTTGAAAGAGTTTTGCTAGAGTGACATGGCCACACGCCAGGAGCACCACTATTGGCTGCGCCCCTTGCTCGTCCAGGCCACATATAGGAAAACTCAAGTCAAGAAGTTGCTATTTTTTGACATTAGCTAAAATTCGAGACGAAGAAGCTAAATATGAAATGGTATCCCATTTGCGTGTGCGTATATACGTCGTATATACATACGCATATGATCCAAGATTCTGGTATTTCTGCTTGGACATAATTGTACATGATGCATGGACTCTTTCCAAAAGAGATTAGCTACTAGACGTACCACAAAATCAACGACGCAATAACATCATTCGGTAAAGTTTATGAAAATCAGTAACATCTATGAAAAGTTCACACAAGCAACAGAAGAACTTCACTGCAAAAGTCAAGAAAAAACAAATATTATGTCATACAGTTTATGAAGAGAAAATTCATCTATCGCACATGCACAATGCTAATAAACAGCAACAACTTTGTGGAGATTCAGTTTCATTCGCCTGTCAAAGAAGGAACAAATTGCACTAAAGCATTTAAACTGTCTTAGAGGCTATTTATTTACAAACATCTCGTGACTGGGAATATCTGTACATTGGGTCTTGAGGCACCAAGCAACTCTATACAGCAGGTATGTTGGCAAAAGAGAAGCCTTTGTAACCCTTATACGCGTAGTATGCGATCCGTGTATAATAGAATCCTGGAATGAACAGAATTCCTCCCAGTACAGCAAAAAATAGCCCTAAATATATAACATCAGATTAAAACAAATAAAATAATGACAGAGTAGTAGCATGCTACCTATCAAAAAAAGAGTAGTAGCATGCTGATTATAACAAATGATTAACATCAAGACGTGCAAAGATATGCAGAACTCTTTTTTAAAGAGGCGTCTCTAATAACTGGATGTATTGACTCAATATGTCTCCAGCAAGATCTTGTCAATATCAATACAATGACAATAAATTTAGAGTCAAACTGTGACACCAAATTTATTTTCACAACTGCGTTCTGTTCCTTAATAGATCCACTGGATGATGTACAGCAGCTAAGTGTTTACTAACTACAAATTGAAAAATGGCAAAGATGGGGGGAGAGCATATCTACTTCTGGAATCTAAGATGAGTGAAATAAATTGTATTACTACAAGAAACGAGCAACTAGTAGTCTAGTGCCGAGCTATGAAGTAACTGTCACAGTCAGACTACTCATACATTCAAGTGTTGCATATTATTCCTTCGCATTTTATAACATGCCATAAAACTGCAAATTAAAAAAAAAGTAAAGCAAGAGATTTAAGTCCCCCTTACTAACAGGAGAAAAAAACAAGGTCGCAAGTGCAGAATACTTGCATCATGGAGCATGACAAAAGAAACAAGTGAAGCAGTATCATATAGAGTCAACTCTTGTATATTTGATAAAGGCATCAAACACAAATCCATCATTACTAGGGTTATTGAAATCTAAAATACATTAAACATATAATTTGTACTCCTTATTTATATATTACAAAGAATCTTAGCTTTATTTTTCTCTTATTGGAGGAATTAGAAAGGATATAATGCACATGATTAGAGCAGGTCGAATGAGAAGGAGAAGTGCTATAAGAATTCTGTGATAAGAGTAAAGGTTAAGATAGTACAGAAAAATAGTTAATAGACCTATTATATTTTATTGTGCAGAAAGTTGGGCTGTTAAAAACCAAATTGTCAATAACATTACGGACACTAAGATGAATGTGTGGTAATACTAAAATAGCACATGAAAAGTAAGAATATATGCAACAGATGGTGGTGGCATAGATTGAGGATAAATTAAGACAATGATGACTCCGACAGTTGGGACATAATTCATAGACCTAAAAGTTTCATGTTCATTAGAAAGGCACAATCTCAGTAAGTTCGAAGAGGGAAAGACAGATGGTTAGACGGATGGGTAAACCATGCTTAACAAGTCCTATTATAGTTTTTAAGGATCTAGTTTATTTGGATCTCCCAATAAATCCAGACTTGATCAAATGGAACTGAGAAGGGAAATAAACATAGCTGACAACATAAACACGAGGCTTAGTTTTGTTGTTGTTCTTTATCTTATCTTTGTCATACCAAAAAAGAAACTTTAACATCACATCAGTCTATATCCACTTTTAAATTCTTCCACAGAAGAAGTTCTTGAATTAATAGGAAGATTAGTCTAACATGCCACATTCATTTTTAATTTTCCATATCACTCAACTGAGCTACATTATACCTTTTAGACAATCCTTGACATCAAGATCTGCATATAATAAATGAGACACTTTTTATATGTTCAATAAATGAGCTAAACTACAAATTGTTCAAACCTACTCAAGTAATTATAAGACTCTAATTAGGTAATTCTCAATCTAAAAAAATTGAGCTTCTCAAATACTTCGCACCATATTTCTCTGTATCCTTGAATCTACTCTGGCCAAACTTCATTATTATTGTAAGATTAAAAATCTAATAAATCCATCGTAAATTTACCTTCAAGAATATTATTCTGTAACATAAATTGAAACGGGTTCCCAAAAACATAATGCTTATTTAATAACTAAAGATGATAATTTACAGAATATTAATTAAATGGCCTTTAAATTGATCATTAAAAGAACATTAACTCAGTGAACGAGCAAAAATAATTAAATCCCACAAAAATTATAAAAACACAGTAAAACTCAAACTCCCACAGAAAGTTTACCGTGGGCGCGGTCACCGCCAACTTTATTGACAGCCATAATGACACCCAGAACGATTCCGAGTGAACCGAAAACCAGGAGAGAAACAGCGAGGGAAATCTCCTTGATGGGCGGCTTGTTGTTGACTGTGTAGGCCGATTCCATCATTATATCATCATCTGATATGGAGAACGCATGATCCACATACGCCATGTATTGCTGCTAACTTTTTGTAAGATTTCAAGGATTTTTTGGTGAATTGAATTTGGGATTGTTTGATTGTGGAGTAGTAGGAGCTATAAGACAATTGTGAATGAGAATCCTATGCTTGGAGAAGACGGGTACGATAGGGTTTTTAGAAGGCGACTTTTCAACAATCAGCAGGCAGCAGCAGGTGTGAACAAAACGACTTTGCATGTTGTCGTGAAATTCGGGTCAAGGTCGGGTCGGGTCAACCCGTCTGGTGGGAAGGGTCTAATTGGACTGGTCAATTTAGGCAGGTGGAATAGGTCCAATTCATAGTTGGGCTACGACTTTATGGACTGCCCTCTAAGAAAATTGAATTTTGTTCAACCTTTAGAATTAAATTGATTCGTAAACTATAACATAAAAAAGAAAGTCGAAATTACATGTCAACGTGTGTTTAAAAATTACAATTCATAAATAAGGGTTGAAGTTTATTTGTTAAAATATCAGATATTAATTTAATTATTTATATTAATAATAATATTATAAACTCTACCCATCCCAATTGCCACGCTCCCAAACCCTAATTATTTCCTCTCTTTGCATCTCGCTCCCATCTCTCTCTACATCTCTCTCCGAAGGCGACTACAGCATGACACCACAAATTTGCTTACGACAATTTTCGTGTGTCATCGTATGGCATACGACAACGTGCTGCAACAGTGAGATGCTAACGATGGTGGTGTTAATGTTGCTTGTGGTGGTGGTGGTGGTGGTGATGTTTTGGGGTGCTTTTGGTGGTGTTGGGGGTTTTAGGTGGTTTTTGTTGGTTGTGCAAGTAGAGGTGCTGGCAGTGATGGTGGATCTAGCGACGGTGAGGGTGATGGTGGTAGGGGCTCTAAGGATCTTGGCGATGGGGTTGGCTACTGATTTTTTGTTGGTTGCACATTTTATTTATTTATTTGGGAGGTGTAGATTGTTACAGTGGTAGTGGTTTGAGACGGTTTTTGTGGTAGACGTCGATAATGGTGATGATGTGGTTCGATGATGTATATTTATTGGTAGTGGTGGTAACTTAAGGTTTGGAGGTGTTGGTTTATGGAAGAAGCGACGGTTATCTACAGCACAAATTGTGGTAGCGGTGATGTCAAGGTGAGGGTGGTCACAAGTAGGTGTAATGGCAATGGAAGTGGTTTGCGACCCACTATTTGGTGTTCTGACCAATTATTTAATTATCTATGATCAAGTGTTCAATTATGGCCTAAAAATTTCGAGATCGTGGATGAGGTTTTTGGTGTATATAACCAACTATTTGGTTTTTTTGTAAATAATTATTAAACTGTGACATTAAAATTCAATAATTTGTGATTAAAAAGTAACGTGATCAACAAATTTGAAAATACATGATTGATAAATAAATCGTGACCTATAATTTTTTTTATTTATGGCCAATAAATAAATTGTGACCTATAAAATTTTTAATTTGTAATCTCGACATAATATATGACCAATAAATGAGTTGTGACCTATAATTATATAATTATGTACATGTAATCATTAATTGTATAATTGTGACCTTATTATATTTAATTAATTAGCTAATACTTTAGTTTTGTATTTTGAAATTTAACACTTGAAAATTGAATTATGTCATAGTTGACACCTAACTTGTGAATTTTTCCCAAAAAGAAAAGTATTTTATTCAACCTTCAAAGTTAGATTGATAAATGCTACAATTTTTTAATCAATAATACTTACTATAGATGGTTAAGCGATTAGATATATGTCATATATGATGACTATGGTAGTCGCTTACTATGAATTATATTATTCTTTTTATAATCTATCAAGAGAAAATATTAAGGATGCACAAAAAAATTGTAAAATCGCAAACCGAACCAAAAATCATTGATTTGAAACTGTTGGTTCGGGTCCGCGTGGATTCGCGATTTTTTCCCCTCAAATCGAACTAAACTATTTCAAAATGGTTTGATTTAGATTTAGATTTTCAAAAATCTCACAAAATTAAATTGAATCGTTTTAAAATTTTTAATTACAACATTAATTTTATTAACTTATAAATTTTACAGTTTCCACTTTTCAGAAAAATACTAATTTAGCAATATAAATTACAACCAACCCATTTAAATAATCATAAAAAGTAAATTATTTTCATCATTATTGGCTCATGATTTAACAAGTTCACAATACATGTCCTTACCAAATATCTAAACTAAATTAAAATTATTCTCATGTCATATAAAATGATAAAAAACATGTATTTTCGACAATTCAAATTATTATTAAACAAAACTACGGTAACAAATCACATTCAAAGCTTTAGAACCCCTGACATAAACTCTCATTTTCCAAACATTTGACGTTTGTCTGTCACTGCTAAACGAATAGCTAGTCACCTTTTGCCTGTTAGTCTACTAATTTCTACCTGAATCGTCTCTTTCTCTCTTCTCTCTCAATAAGTCTCGTATTTTTATTCAAGCCATTTTTTCGTTGTTCTTTTCTTTTATTTGTTATTCTTAAATTTATTATACATTTGTGAGTTGCGATTTGAACAGAAAAATGACTGTTTTTGTGTTTAGATGATTAACAAAATTGTTTGCGGTTTGGAAAGAGCAAACGGCATAGCATATTGATTGTGTGAAAATATTAAAGTTCTCTAACCAGTACTAATACTTTCTACTTTTATAAAGTAGTTAGATAATGAAATTTGTTAATTCCCAAAAACCTTGAATTCTATTAATCTTTATATATCTAAACATATAATGTTTAATCCTTATTTAACATCTTATTAGCAAGACGAATGGAGTTTTAACCAAACTATAACAACATAAAGTGGCTCTACCTTTACCAACAACCATGTGATAATATGAAAGTCAAACAAGAAAAGTAAATAAAAATGAAGAAACATGTATTTGTTCTATTAACATCTTTTAGCAACCAACTTGGAAAACAATTTATTCATTAGTTTCGTGGTAAATATGAATGTAATTTAAAATTTAACATTATTAGTTTTCGTTTAAACTTATATGTTAACTTATGTTAAATATATTACTATAATGTCGATAGGTAAACAGCGGATTAAAATCAAACTAAATCGCAAATTATGGTTTGGATTGGTTTGAAAAAATTTCAAACTACATGAAATGGTTTGAGTTGAAAATATAGTCAATCGTCCAAGCCGAACCGCGTTCACCCCTAAGAAAAATGTTTGATTTTGGGAGGGTTTAATTGGAAAACCACAAGGGATGAATGAGAACTTTACACAATTAGGAGAACATATGGCTTGTTTGATAGAGCTTCTACTTTTTATGGAAGAGATTTTCGAGGATTCTACGTTATGACATATTTATCTAAAAACTCTTCTAGACATAAAATGCTTTCAAAAATTATTCAAACATGTTTAAAAGCCTTCTTAATTTCAAAAACCTCTTTTGACTTTTTAAAACCAGTGCAGAAGTGGGCCATGCTATAGTTCATTTTTGCTAACCCCTCGAGAAAATATCTCTTTTTGCTAAGTTTAGAATATTTTTATTTATTTATTTATTTATTTATTTTTTTTGGCGAAATTGAAGGATTTTTAGTGGTTTGAATCTGGGGCTTTCTAATGTGTAGTAGTGGTAGCTATGGGAGAATGGGGAATGAGTATGCTATGCCTGGAGAAGAATGATTCTGACCTGTAGAAGGTGATTTTTCAACCGTCACACAAGGGGGAGGTGTAAAAGTAAACAAGAGGAACGTAAAAATTTGCTAGATTGTGTCTTGCAATTCAGTCAGGAAAAATTTGGTTGTACAAAAAAATCATCTGCACAAACCTTACAAACACTCACAAGAGTGGATCCCATGTGAATTAAAATATTGCAAAAAATAACCCACTCGCGCTGCATGTGTGTATTCTGTACCGTTTCTGTAGAGAATTTTTCTGTACGTGTAGCTTTGTTGATTCGGGTAAGATCAAGTCACGTGAATAGAAATGTGGTATGGCATGTAAATTTTGATGGCTAGTGTCTAGTCGGCCTGTACATAAACAAGGTCCAGTGTGTCCCTTGTCGAGTCATGTCATTCTTATAAGAAGTAAGAATTAAAATAGATTGGTCTAAAAAAAAATCAACAATTAATTAGAAATTTATTTTGATTTAACGAAAAAAAATGGAATATGTTAAGACACTATAGAACTGCACGTCTGATTTATTTTTTTTAAAGAATAAATTGAGAACAATAGGTGCACATTATCCCCCGTTTTGTAGCAATTTTTCATTCCAAAAAAATCAAAAATTTTTTATTGTTATTTAACTATTTCAATCGCCATTTTTTACTTTTTCACTCATAAGTAGGACCAACTTTTCTCTCCAACGATCAGAAAATCAATTTTCAAAATCACTATTGAACATGCTCATAATATTAATAATGAAAGAAAATAGTAGTAAGAGGATGTTAGACCAGACCTTAAAAAAAGTAATCGACTCCAAAATTTATCCACTGGTCTAATTTAGTCCAAAACTTTGTTTAATTTTTTAAAATTATTAATTCAATTCAATCCAATCCAATTCGACCATATGACCCCTGACTCTTGAATTTTTCAAACCAAAGCTGATTTTTGAAAAATTGGGTTTAACAGATTTTTAAATTCCTTTTCAAATGCAGGATACATCAGCAATTATTTTTCTCCTTCTCATTTTATTTTATGTAAATAAATATCAAGATATGAAATGTTATCACCATATTGATCCAAATATTCAAAAAATCAGGTGACGAGAGGACGGCCATGTAGATAAAAAAAAAATTAAGATAGTTTGTTGTGAATAGAACCAAAAAATAAATATTTAAGTATTTGGACTTGTAAATTTGTAATTAATCCCTGTCCGCATCTCCAAAATTTCCGACGGACGATAAGGGTCATACACCTGGCCCCATTCCGGCGAGCCGTATTGCATCATCTAAGGCCACGTCTCATACTAGATTAGATCGTACAAGAAATTATGTATAAAATTAGAGTAGTAGTAGTAGTAGATGGTATCAATAGAGTTAGGTGTGGGTTGTGTTTCGTTGGTTTTTTATTTAACACATACTCAATCCAACATGATCGGTTTGATCTAAAATCAAATCAATCCAATCCAATCCAATTATTAGGCTTGGGTTGGTTTGAGTTGGGTTGATCGGTTGGGGCTTTGGTCCAATTCAAGTTGACTCCAACTATACTCTGTTAAGTTTGAACGATTTTTAAAATTTAAAATCACTTGAAAATCTTAGTTATTTTTAACCTATAAAAGGAATTCTTCCAGAAAATTAATTTATAAATAAGTTTGAAACTATGAAGCATTTTCGTTTCATAATTATTTTTCTAAAATTTATTCATTTCATTATCACGTCCTTGGTTTTTAATTTATTATGAAATCATTCTCTTGTCTCCACTATAATGTCTATTTAGATTTATTTTTATTTATTTTTTTCATTTTTGGTATTAATTTTTTTAATTCATTGGGTTGAATTGGGTTTTAATTCATAACCCGAGACCCAACCCAGCTCGACTTGAAATTTGATTTTCCAACCCGACCCAATCCAGTTGAACTTAAAAACCAACCTTAATCCGTCGATTTTGGTTGGGTTGGTCGATTTGAGCGATTTGGATTGGGTTTTGTCCAACCCTAAGTATTAGAGTGGATTAAAGTGGATAATATCTCTTAAGTTTTTCATTTAAAAAAGCATATACTGCTTAAACCCATTTTCTCACTTCGTATTTTGTATGTTATCGGTTATCTTAAGAATGATAGCGCACATAACATTCTTTAAAAATAAATAAATAATAATAATAAAGAAGTGTTGTCCACCTTAATTCACCATAATACTATTTACATAGTATATCTACTCTAATTTTGCTCGTAATCTCTTATACAATCTAGTTTGGTGTACCAAAAAAATAATAATAATAATAAATAAAAAATAAAAAACACGAAGTAAATTTTAGTTCCATTGCCCGTTTCCTAAACAATGTGTCACATGGTATAGTCATTTAAATAAGTACTATATATGATACAAGTTGGCATTTATTGAAGTTAGTCTTATCTTTTCCCAAAACACAACAGATTCCTAGTTAGAAAATTAAATCAAGTATTCACATGCATGCTGGAGATTAGTTCAACACTATGAATCAAAAAACCACTATAATTATTTCAATAGTAATAATTAAATCATTTTAATTTTTATTTAGTTCTATCTTCCTTGTTTGACTTTCCATGTCATGGGATCTTATCACTAATAGAAAATCAATGTAAAAGATAGAAGCAATTCAATGAGCATCTTTTACATGTATTGTCAGTTATTAGATTTTTTTGTCTACCTAGAACAAAATATTAAGATTTTTCATTTACATCCACAAATTATTTTTGTAATTACACAACTCATTATTCAGTTTGTGTACTAGTTGAAATCAATCATTTTGTACGTGGAAATTTAAAATTGTACGTGGGAGTTATGTTTTTAACGATTTTGATGAATTTAAACCCCTTTAACCTCAATTCAAGCGATTTTGTCATTAATCATTCGGAAACTATATTTGTTGCTCGCTTATGTTGTACTTTCTTGTAAGAGAATAGTGGCTAGTCGGGGAAACAAAGTCTTGAAATTAACCAATTTTACCTGAGCAAATGATATAATGATTTTCAGATTATGTCGAATGTTAGGAATAAAAATACATTGATACCAATGTAATCAAATATAGAAAAAAATTACGTAAAGGGATTGGACCGTATAATGAATAACTTCATTTTCATTTTTGATACCTTTTGTCGAATTTAATCTAATCTATCTCACCAAACATGCGAAACAGTTGAAATTTGCTCTCTCTACTGGCTTTTGCATAAGTCAAAACACATAGAACTAAAGACTAAAAAAGACACAAAAGATTGAAATCAATAGTATATATAATTAGAAGCAACAAGAACATGCACATGCAGGCTACAGCATATGATTTCCCAGTTGTCCACTGACTCCAATGCCTGCATCTTCAATTTACTATTTCTTCTTGGATTTCTCAAACCCCATGTTCTTTATATGGATCCTGCTTTGCCAAAACTTACACCCCAAGAAGCACATAATATAAAATTGTTATGGGCAAGGCAATCAGCATTCCAAAAATAACCCTGTAAAAAAAATGAAATGAGTTTTGGAGTAACATAAACTTAAGCTTTACACATTCTTGCTTTTTTTTTTCTTTTTTTTTGCATGGAGAAAATTAATTTTTGAAAGTGTAAGCTGAATTAGTAGGCGAAGAAGCTTACGCAGTGCTTAATATGTCTGGATGTACATTGTATTCTTTTGCAAACACAAAGGGAACAATACCCTGGGGAAGAGCTGCCTGTATTCAAGAAGTAAAGGATAGAAAAATATGGTTAAGTATCTAAATTAGCTATTGTTAAAAACAAAATGCAATTTGAGTGAAACAAAATAATAATAAGGATCGATGGATCAAAGTTAGGTATTTGTCGTAGTGAATGATCTAGTTGTTTTGAATATTCAAGTAGATCTATGAGTGAAATGAACATTATAAAGACGAAAAAAGATTTATGTAACCTCCTCGAGCCACCAACAAGGTTTAGTTCATTATTTATTTAAATTCAAACAAATTCAAGAAATGATATGAATTTTAATCACCTGAACAATGGCTACATGCAAAAGCACTCCTCGAAGACCAATGGCAATGGAGGTTGCAGCAATTACTGCAGGCCCTGTTAAGAACCTAACAGCCATTGAAAATGTAGCAACAGATTTTCCACAGGCTATGATCTTTGGTTGCAAAGCCATGAATAAACCTGCATTTCAAGCAACAAAATTAAATGAGTTATTTTACATACTTACCCCTATAGACTGTGTAGAGTCTAGTCACATTGTTCCCTTATCTTCTCGACTATAAACCTTAATGGCTCAAATTGACTATTGAGAGTGAATCCCTATAAATATGTGTATATGCAATATGCTCGCTGTTTTAGTTCTTTTATCTCTCGAAAATAAGGATTAGAATTGAAAGGTGGATCACAACATAGTATTGGTGCAAGTTGATTGGTCTAGAGAATATAACTTGGACTGTGTTACTTATGGAGTAATATGGACCATAGATTAAATTTAATGGTTGGATTTAATTTAGTGGTTAATTACCTATACTAGTGTTGTCACTCTTTAAAACAAAGTACAATATTTGAATTTTAAATTCAAATGAATTGGCTCTATAATTTCAAGATCTCTTCATTCTCTCTACTTGGACTTGGCATAACATTTGAGAGAGAGCATAGAGAGGTAACCAAGTGGGAGCTTTCCATAATTCTGGCGAAATTCTTGGTGGCTTCCGACGGATCCTTTCTCGGTATATCCATTGTCATTCCCATGGACGACGGTGCATGATCTGGTGTGGCACAAATCTGAGTTCAATATCAAGAACACTTCATTGGTGATGTTGAAGAAGCTTTGAGTTGGTTTTGGTTTGGTTTTACACTTTGAGAGTTTATTATTCCGCATTGTAGTTATAATAATCTTTTGTATACTACACTTTAAATTCTACAAATGGTATCAGAGCTTAGGCTAGTGGTAAAAAAGTGTTAAAACAACCTGAAAATCGGATTGGAAGTCGAAGAGGTTCGATTTTATTTGAAAACAAGTTCAGCAAAAACTTTGAACTCATTTTCTGCAAAAACTACACATCTGGTGGACGAACGGAGACCACCACCAGACTCCAGACGTCAAGTAAAACATTTCGATGAAGTGTGTGTTGCACACGCGCCGGCGGTGGAGGTGGCACGTGAGACCACTTGCAGAGAACAAGGGTGATGCATGAGGGCGCGTGAGGAGTTTTCAGCCGGAGGTCAAAAAAGACAGATTGTTCCTTGATGAATTTCTAACCTTCTGGTGGTTTTGGATTTCAGTTTGGTGTACTATGGAAGCAGATACAGTCTCGGGCAGACAAGTGGAAATGGAGAAACTTTTTCGTTGGCAGCTCGGTGGTGTTTCTTGGTGTTTCAGTAGCTGTTGGATGACTTAGGGCAGTTACTGGAGGCTTCAGATCGATAAAGACTTGCATCTCTCCTTAAAATAGGAACCAATAGATTCGTTCGCTCGATTTGCGCCATCTAACACCCTCTCGAATTTACAATTGAAATATTGTGTTATTTGCTACCATATTGTTACTTGACTCTTGTGATATTGGTTTGTGTTACTTGTTATGATATCATCATCCATGTCATCTTAGAAAGTAATTTATACATAAATTGGTTTGGGCTTGCATTTGTGTGTGGGTAAATTGGCTAAGTAAAACTTTTTTCGAAATTTGAACCATTAAATTGCCCGAAAAATCTCCATACATAGCCCTCAAAAGAGGGATTCCCATTACAAGAGTATTTGGAAGAGTCGAGAGAGAAAATAGAGTGATCAGCCACTCTAAGCTCCCATTTTTGCTGAAACTATGCCACAGAAATAGGGCTGCAAGAATCACAACTTTTTGCAATGAATCAGCCGCAATGAAGTGATAATTCATTGCATAAATATCATTTGTCGAGATGAAATGAAATCCGAGTAATGGAACAGCAAAAACAGCCACAAATCGATTGATTCCTGAGCATTGATCAGGTGTAAAAATTTTCCACCATTTAACTGAGCCATAAGCTAAGATCATAGCCACATATAACGGTATTATTGCAGCAAGAACATCATAGATATCCTTTCCAGTTATCATGGTGAGTCACTAAAATGCAGATACAGAGAGAATCAGATAGATATAGATATAGATATATATTGAGAGGGGGGGAGGGGATGACTTTAGAGTTTGTAGTTGATGAGATTGATAAGGGACCAAGTTTCAAGAGAGACTATAACTAAGAGAGTAAAGAAGAAGCAGTTCCTGATCACATGGAAGTGAGAGGGAAAAGGTTAAAAATGGCTTCGTCTTTATTCAACATGATACAGCTACAAAAATGGAATTTTCACACAAGAAAAATATATTTTGTATGTATGTTGTCCCCCACAAGACAGACACATACACGTAGCACAAACTCACACGAGAGAGAGAGAGAGATTGGGGTTTAAAGAATTGAAAACTGGTCGGGAAAGGGAACGGGAAAATCGTAGTTAATCGGTTCGCAATAGTACATCTTTGTCTGTGCCAATTTTGATTTCTCTCCTCCATTGTTTAGAACAAACGAGCCATCGGCTTTGGACAAGATGCTAACATGGAACTCATAATAACAGCAAACGTCCATATAAGCAAGATAAAATGTACCTCAATCCTAGTCTGGACCAGATAGTTTGGATGCCTACACAATAAAGATTGTTAAGGATGGTAGTTATTGTCAAGATACATTTATGAACGTTGAAGAATTTGTGAGAACAATAATAACCTAATTGAGATTCAGAGCTCATGACGAAATACATCAACACACGGAGTTACAATGAACTTAGAGAAATCTTGACGGGCAAGATTTCATATCTATTGTTTCAATCCGTCAGTCTTACCATTAAAATTTTGAAAGCTCAGACCATCATTTTTAAACAAATAATTATTTTGTTGGAATCGCATTCATATTAGAACAAAACTGAACTACTAGAAGAAATTTAACATAGGGGCTGACAGATAAACACATTGCCATGGACCCAATTGCATAAAAAATTTCCAAAAAAAAAAAGCGGGCCCTCCCCCTAATGTGAGTATTTTGTCACGGGGTAGGTCATCCATTTTCTGGTATTGTAGCAAGTCTCTTCATATTATTAGGTAATTGCAAATGGTTTGGTAATAGAAAAAAATAAAAAAAAATTGGCAAATGGTTTTGTAATAGAAAAAAAAAAAAAAAAAGAACATGGAAGTGAGATAGAAAGGATAAGCATCCTAGGGAGATGAGAGAAAAGATAAAATTGTTGTATATGGGCAATATGGTCAACAAATTTTTTCTAAAGAATATCAACGTGCTACAATTTTATTTATTTTTTATTTCTTCACCCCCAACACGTACAAAGAAGAAATATGTGCTACAATACTGAACATAGCTTTCTTTCTCCCACATCAGACGTGTGGAAGCGGTAAAAATAATTGACAAACACGAAATTTTGTAACACCATCACTTTCTAGTTTTTGTTGATTTTTAAGAATATAGAAATCTAAGCATATAAAATCTCTTTGATTCGCTTCAGATATTGAGAATTTAAAAGAGAGAAAAATTTCAAAGTCAATTTTATTTCAATTCAAAAAATAATCGAGTGTCATTAAGATTGAAAACCATTATTTAAAGCAATGACTAACATCTAAATAATAACTAAAATCTAGAATAGAAACGACGAAAATTAAAAGCATTAATACATAATTAAATACTAAACGCCCATAATGACTTAAAGTGCAAGAAAATAATTAAAAAGAACAAGACTCAGCTCCCTTATTTTTAGTTGTAGGGCCAAAATACACCAATATTTCTTCAAAAAATAAACTTGCTATTATAACTATTTTTGAATTTTGCATTGCTTGTAGAAGCCTTTCTTATAGGCTTATAAGCATCTAAAGACGAGTCTACCTATTATGTTTGTACAATGATAACCGTCATGGTGATGTGCATTAGAATGAAGAGGACAGCAAATCTTCAAAAAAATTAGGTCCCAACCTCAATAATTAGACTAGAATATTTCCTTCAATCCTAGATGCAAGGAAAATTTATGAAAAGTTACAATCCCCACTACGGAATAATGCACCTACATGCTTTCATCGATACTAAGAAGGCAATGCAGTTCAATTAGCAATACCACAGATGTGCAGCTACGACTCGGCCTTAACTCGGCGGGAAATATCACTTTCGCAAGTGAAGAAAACCAACTTTACTATACAAAAGAAACACCATTACACAGTGTACAAGTTAAGAATCCCCAGTAATAGAATGCAGTAAATTGCTCACACTTTCTATACTTCTCAAACTACAATTTTGCAGCATTGTTCAACTTCGTCATATACTATTTTCCTCACGAAATTCAGATTTAAATGATTGAAAACAACTTCTGCTACGTCCCTATGATTGTGTAATAAATTAAACTCGCAACTCTTATCTCTGAGTCAGAATGAGATCCTTAAGCCATCTTATGTGTTCGAGGATATCTTCGTTCTTTTGAGGCCATGGTCACAAATGAGGCTTCATAAGTAACTGACTCTTAAAATTAGCATATTAAGGATTGCTCGACACACTTATAAGCCTGTAAGACGAGTCTTTCACAAGCTTACATGCCCCTCAGAATGTTTGGAGAAGACAAGGATAAGTTTATGGCATTATACTGAAACTAATCCACGTTGCGGTCAAAGAATGACCACTCTGATATCACTATTACAAATTAATTGCACACTGAGTAGAACTTCTAAGATCGACTTGTAAAGAAAGAGTGTCCAATGTGCTTATAAACTTACTATATAACCAACGTGCTTTTTTGCCGTTGAAGAAAAAATTAGCATAGATAAAAAGTTAATTTGAAGGCACAAAGTGATTGTACTAAATACTAATGGAGCATATAAAGTTCAGAGTTTCATCGGATGGTTAAACAATGATCCTGTATACACTTTGCATCCTCATAGTACTGAAGAACCTAAAATATCTGCACTTCCAGACATCTGCTAAATCAATGTTGAAAGCAAAAGCACAAAAAACGACAAAAACAAAAAACAAAAACAAAAACAAAAACAAAAACAAAAACAAAAACAAAGCAAGCTCTCAAAAACCCGTGATAAAAAAGAATATCATGCAACTAACTCTTCAAGAAAAAAAAAAAGAAAAAAAAAGCCTATGTATCCAAACTTCGCGATTTATGGAAATGAGCTTCTTGGGGGCAGAAGCAGCTAAAAATGCACTGAGGCTGTCCCTTACTAGGAGAAATTGGTCCCTTCACATTTTGAAAAAGCATACGCAAATCGATTTTTGATTGAAGCAGTTGCATTCAGCAAATACAGCAAGAAAATCCATTGCAAGCGTGCTTTCTCTTTGTTGTAATCTAGACTTGAGCAACTGAGATAGAACCCGATACTAATAGAGGACTCAGAACAACTGAAGTGCCATTTTAAGCTTATTCTGCTTCCATTTTGGCAGCTTGTAGAAAGCACTCTTAGCCATCCCAAATTTCTCCTTGAACTCTTCTGAAGACAAATAAGTCTGCAAAAAAAGATTGAAAATTTTCATAGAAAAAATAATGAATATGACCCATAATCACTGTTATTTGAATAAATACCTCTCTTTTGGTCACATCAATTTCTTTTACTGGATCTGTCGATGTTATTTTAAGGCGTTCATATGGGTATACTGTGAGCCCTTCCTCATCTTCAACTTCGCCCTCTTTTACATCTTCCTCTATAGTCACAGGTTTAGGTTTGCTGGCGGAGTTCTCCCTAGAGATCGTCTCTGGTTTGGTTTTGGGTACCTCAGGGCTCACTTCAGCATGATTAAGAATATTAAGTTTTTTGATGAATACAAAATTAAAATAAGTAAATGAGTTTTCTTGGCAACTTAAACTTTTAGATAAGATAATAGTATCTCATTTCTCACCACTGCCCATTTATGAAAACTATGCATGTTTTGAGCCTTTGATGAAAATATGGATCTAGTATACATGGGGGTATGCTGAATACTAAATTTTAATAAATAATTGCATCCGTGGCAATTGAAGCTTCTAAATGAGGTAGTTCAACAGTTACACAGTTCTCATGATGGCTAGTTTAGCGATTTAGAAAAATTCAAGTAATATTACCTTTAAGAGAACGGGGTATAAGGGTTTCTCGTGCTGGTGCAGGTCGTTCAAAAGTTGCACTTATTTTTGATATAGATGCTGCTCTGGAGGAGGCCAATTTCGCTGAATCCGGGGTCACAGATTTTGGGTAAAGTTTTCTTACCATCGGAGGAGGGGTCGAAAGGTTTCTCGCATTTGGGTTCTCAAAAGTCGCTGCCAGAGCATTGAATGCAGGAGATCTTCCCCTCACACGAACTCTGTCAGGGCTAAAAGACACGCTTCTCGAACGCTGTGATTTCTCAGGTGCAGCAGACCTTCCAGATGAGATAGGTATTACTCTCCTTCTGGGTTTCTATCATGCAACATACCGAGGAAATGGAAAAGAAAAGAAATAAAAAATTAGGACAAACATCTAGAGTACGAAGTAGTAGGAGAAGTAGCAAAGAGAGTATGTAATATGCTGAAAAATACTGAACAGTTGTATTTCCAGAACATGGAAGTCGATACTGAAATTTAAGCTTTGTGCATAATGAAAGATTAAACCAATGTTCCTAAGCAAGTTTCTCACGTGAATAGAATTTTGAAGTCGAACTGTTCCTTTAAGTAGTAGTAACAAAGAACAAGGTCTCATTAATTTTAAACATGCAATAAGTTTTAATTTAGGCAAAAATATATGAAATTATCAATCTTGAAGTATTTCGTCACAACAGCCATTGTTCTTATACTGTAACAGCAGCCATTAGCCCCATTCTTTGGTTAATTGGCTCTCAGGTCCCATATTCTAACTTCTCAGAGAATAGGTCCCTCAAAGTTATACTTTTTATGCAAGCAGGCCCCTTTCGGCCTTTTTTTTTTTTGGGACACGCATTAAATCCATTGAAAAGACAAATTTAAACTTTCAAACGTACAAGAAAAAATAAGTGCAAGAAAAACTTAAAAAAGGTAGCAAAACCCTCCCAGGCTCTTCTTTCAGCCCCCTCCCAAATGTGCACGGCATATGGCTCCAATAGCATGCACATGGGATATCAAATTTTATGATTCTATTTTCTAGGAATTTCATCATGTTTAGATTTTCTGTGTTCAAATAATGTATGAAATGAATTATCAATTGGAGAAGAGAGCATGTGATTAAGATCCTGTGCTTTCCAAATGAAGTTGTGAACCACCACTCTTCCAAAAAATAAATAAATAAATAATAAGAGAGCATGTGTACGAGAGGAACATGAAGGATTGACAAATAAAGAAACCCAAAAAAAGAAGGCTAAAAGGGTCTAACTGGGACAATTCACTCTCTCATTTCTATATGCATTTACCATGATTTGTATGACCGAAAAATCTCATCATCAAGTATTTTGTCGCATTTTGCCACAAAGTTTCTCCACATTATGCAAACAATTTTGACAAAATATTTTCCCTAATCGGACGCATCTATACAAGATATTTTCATGATGTGGCAATCTTATTAGATATCAAATATCTAACACTCAAAAGTCGAGCTCTTAGTACCCAAAGGACTATAACTCTCTCTCTCTCTCTCTCTCTCTCGTGTGCTCATCTTTGTGTTGGTACCGGCTCTAATAAGAGGAATTTTTTTTTGCCATTCATTTATAGAGCACTGATACTTTTCATGAAAAATTACAATAATCTACATGTAAAATTAAAACACCTTCAGCTTTAATGAGAAAGTGGGCATGTAGTTAGGAAACTCTGAATTGACATTCATATTACCAATTACAGTCTTGAAACCAAAAGCGTTCAACAAATAAAGCTTGAGACTTGAGAGGATTACACATCAAAATATACACAGTTTACTATTTTTCAAATAAAAAGGTAACCTATCATTTAAGTCGACAATTGCTTCCCAAAACCGAATAACATATAAATTTACTAAAGACAAGCTAGTATATATGTGTATAAGATTCACGAGCATTCAATATGTACCTTCCAGCTCAAAACTTCAAAATATAATAAATAAATAAAAACAATTAATGAAAATTGGACAGCAAAAATGCAATGCATGTCAGCTTATAAAATTCACAAGTTATATAGTGAGAGTACCCACATCACTGCTATGTCCTACATCATTTATTTGTGAAATATTACTTCAACTTAGATACATTAAATAATTTGACATTTAAAAATATTTTCAGCGTGCAAGGATGATAAAGACAGAAGTAGCAGTCATGGCATTTAACAGGTAAACTCACATTTACTAACAAGATAACCAATCAAAATGGGAATAACACAAATATATTTAAAAAATTAATTAACAGAAACAGAGGGAGGTAAAGCAAATGAAACTCACTTCTAACAGCGCAGTAGCCCCATTTTTGAGAATAGCAAGTTTTCTTTGGAAAGAATTCCCATGCATCTGTAATCGAGATCATTAGTATCTTCTGAGGATCTGAAACCCTACAAATAACATCAGACTTAATACCGGCACTTACTGAAGATTTTGAAGAGTCCCAAGTGAAAAAGCGAGTAAAAAAAGTTGGCTCACTGCCTTCCATAACAATATATATTGGAGCTTGGAGAGATAATTTCTCCATTAGAAAATCACTCTCCAAAAATTTCTGTCAAAATAAAAAAAAAAAACTGGTGAGAGTTCATATGAGAAACATTACATAGGCTTAACTAGGTAAAGTTGATAAACATATTAGTATGTTTGGTATACCGGACTAGATAGTACTGGACACGATAAAGCATTAAAAAAGTTGAAATCCTATCTATTATATATTGTAGTGATGTATAATACTGTGTGCCAAACATATCATCGCGTTTTGGCGCCAATTTAAGCAGTTTACTTCATTTCTAGGATGCTAGTAGTAATGACACTAGTTTCAGGGAAAATTGGGCCAAAACCTCAACTCACCTCCCGGCTCTAAATCTCTAGCTTCCTTCCATTCCAAACAAGTCTAGACTGGGAGCCAAATAACAAACTCACTTAATACTTATTTTTTCCCTTTCCTTCTCAGAGTTAAATCAGTTTATATAATCCCCAAGATACTCAGAACATGTTGATGCTGGTAACCAAATTTGAGTGACATGAATCACTATTAAAACGTATCCATCTAACAGAAGATTGATAAATTGACAATATCACTGCTTAAAGACATCATTATTTGAAAGTCTTTCTCAGTAAGTCGATGCGACTAAACCAAAATATGAATATGATTGGTTTCACAAACCTACCAGAGACGATAGATGAAGGATATTTCAAGGATGAAAACTAAACATAACGTATTTATTTAGAGCAACACAAAATCATGGTGGTGGCCACCTCAACCACTCACATTGCCACCTTAAAATTCTGAACAATCAAATTCCAACCAAACACATCATTCCCTTTCAATAAATAATGTATCTTACCTCAAACTACTTGACAACAGGAGATCCATATATTTAAGCACCATGACATTCAGGTTAATATGCTGATTACATCCTCCATCTACCCCAAGACCTCTTTGAATTGCAAAACCTAATACTTCAAAGCTGTCTAGCAAAGGATAGGAAACTACTGTACATGCAGTTACCACATCTCTCATACACCAATGGTCAGGACATTAAACCTTCTAGCTACAATCGTTTTATAGGACAAGGAACCAGGATGGGAATTGGATGCTTGGACCTCTCAAGAAGGAAACAGGCCATTCATTAGATCCAAAAGTGTTCAGTTTCCCAATTTTAAGTAATATGAATGCAGTAGATAATATATGGCAGTTTACATTTCCATAATCAAAGCATTAAAGAAATTGAAAGCTTACCTCTCCAATATCCAAAGCATTGTGCTTATTCTTGGGTTCAACCTGTTGCCCAACCCACACATAAATATCCGAGTGACAGTCAAGAATGAATACATCTTCAGTCATTAGATCATCTTGGTTGAAATTGTGTATTTCAGTCGCCTGCAACAAAAACTCCAATTCAATGTTTCAGAGGACAATATAAGAGAATACAGCCAAAGTGAGGTTAATGCCACATTTCGGCCTGTCATTTTGTGAAACCATTAGTATCTTATGATAAAATTTAAAGACATAGGTACATTTATAAAGATTATGCCGGCGGAAGGCAAAGAGGTTCTGGAAAAAGACAATTTTTAAAGGATGCTGCTTTGGACAAACCATCCCTTCATACCCGACTACTCAAATGAGTAGATAAAAGAAGGCATAGACTCTAAAAGTATTAGTCAAATTTCATTGCTGTTATTTCCCTAGTAATAAATCCATATGAAGAAATGGCATACCTTCAAACCTCCTGAAGACAGTGATAAATTCAGCAGTAATCAATGTCATGAATGAAACAAATAAGTTAGTACAGAAGAATATAGGAGGTCTGATTACAAATATCCAAAAATAAAAATGTTATAGAAATGAATTTTTTTTTCTTCACACCCTTTGAGAAATTGCATGAGAATAGATGAGGATCACTTTCAGCATCTCTTGCAATTTTCTGGCTTGGGTATTCAGATTTTCCACCTAACAAATCCCAGAACTGCTCAGATTCTGCACCTTCTTTCTGCAGTCTGGATTGCATATCAGGCTGCAGGAATGAAGTGTCACGAGTAAATTAGATAGGTAAACAACCATTGGCAAAAACACGGCACTAAGTTTTTTTCCATTACTCGATAAAATATTCAAATACGATGGCAAATGCTGAAGATTATTAAGGTATCATAACTTTGTAATTCATATTATGAAAGAGACAAACAAAATGATCTGTGACAAAATGAAACCTCTAAATGCTGAATCAACTCTTAGAGGAAGGAAAGCATCTTTAACAACTATCAGACCTTTATAAGATCCAGCTGCCTCTCAACAAGTTCCTGGTCTTCAGATGTTGTAAGGTTTCCGGACCAGGAAAACACAGAGGAACCATTGTGGAGTATGTAACAGTAAGAGGAATTCAAAGATGATGCCACCTGAATCAAAATAAATAAATCATATTTCCTCAGCAGTCGTAGTTGACAAATTGGGCAAATCAGCAAAACAGATGTATGCTTCTAGTCATAAAACTGAATCATATGGTAGCTCAATGAAACCTAGTATTTTGAAAGGAAAGTTCCTTTCTTTTTTGACAAGTTTAGGACAAATAGATGTAACAGTTCATAGGCATGTTTCAATGGCATATGGCAAAAAAATTATGTAAAATTGCACAAATTTGAACTGAACTTAAAAGAGCATTACTTGTATTCTTGGGCATTTTAAAAAACAGACACTTTAACATAGGAATTGGTAGTGATATTGCACCATGTAATACCTTGCAGTGGGTGAGTCTTTCTCACATGAGAATAAAGAAGGTTTTGGGCAAGACAAGAAAGAACCTTGTCCTTAAATTGCGAGAAATTCGTTAACATTAATCAAGGAACTCCAGCATGAAATGGTCACAAAGGGTTGAAGAACGGAATTAAAACGGAATTGAAATGAAGTCGGATTATTAATTATTAAAGCTTTGCTCCCAGATATTATGGACAAGGCCTCAAACGAAAAATATATACATAAGAAGACAACAATTGTAATTTATAGCAAGTAAATCAACACACGTGTAAAAGTATCACCTACTAAGTTGTAATAAAACGAAACATTTGCTACAAAAAAATTGAAAGATTCACAAATATACGATCATAAATAGCTAAAAATACAAAAATACCCTTATTTATAAAATAACAATAACACCATGTATATATTAAAATATGTGACAATTACATACCATTTCTTTAATTATTTTATTCATTCTCCAAAATTTAAACTAGAAGTGATATTAATAAAATGACTTTCTCTTACAAATTTTATTATATTTTTTTTCCTAGAGTTCGAAATTAAATAAATAAGAAATTAACTTTTAATAATTTAATAACACAGTGAAAAATATAGATAAAAAATTCATTTGATTTTTTCCAACATTGTAAAATGGATATTCTTCTCATATTTAACTAAAAAGTTATGTTCATTTTATATAAATTACAAAAATCATGTGAAATGTATGTCTAAGTATCTTGAATTTTGTTCTCTTGTATGCGATTAAGCTTTAAAAAAAGTTTTTTTTTTTGGAAAAAAAAACATTTTTAAAAAATGTTAATAATTTAATCAAGAGACTTTGCAAAAATCTAATTTGTGGAGAGATATGTGAAAGGGAAAGGGGAAAAATAGATGGAAAAGAATAGGAATTAAAATTTTCAAAAAATAAAAAAATAGTTTAAAATGTTAAACATTACATGATTTAAAATTTTTTATTCTTGAATAGGGGTATTTTGGTATGTACGAATTTTTGTAATGACATAATTGTAAAATGTTTAGCAAAATTCAATAAAGAAAAACATAGTAGGTAAAAAAAAAAAAAAAAATCCAATATAGAGGGTGTACTTTGAAAATTTTCCTTCACAAATGATTGATCTTTAGTAATTAAAGAATTTTGGGAAACATATTCATTCCATTAAACCATGTAGCAATATAAAATGTAGAAGTCACAACCATAATATATCATACTGTAATTAGCTTGAAATTAAACATTTTCATCAATACAAAAAGATTCTAGCTTCTTCAAAGCTTGAATCAAGACTAATAAACATCCAATTTACATAGAGCAAAAAATAGTTAGATGATAGGTACAAAGAACAACCCGTAAATTCTAAAAATTTTAGGCCAAGTAGAACCAAGAAACATTGCATGCAGTACGACTTCATTAACAGCAGGAATATCAACGATAATGGAGGTACTGATAGGATCATGTTGTCCCCAAAAGTTTGTTTTTATTAACAAGCAGGAATGGAAAAGGATGTAATGCATGGGATTAAACTAGATTGAATGAAAATGCCAAGTGCTACAAGAACTATTTTTACTAAAAAATTCTTACCAGGTTAAAATGCAGGTTCTACATAACAATGTTTAGACCTGGTTGTGAGTGATGGGTTGTCGAAGGAGAAATGATAAGATGACCGTAGTGAATATGAGGATGGTTAAATAGATGTGTGGTTAAACTATATTGTGAATGATGAAAATTAGAATGTATGTAACAAGTGGAAGTGTTAAGGGAATAAAGACGATGGTTGGAATGTGTCTTGCATAGACCTAAAAAGGAGCACGTTTATAAGAGTGATGGGATTCTAGTAGAACAAGTCCAAAGAGGGAGAAGTGGACCAAAACTGTGTCTTGCATAGACCTAAAAAGGAGCACGTTTATAAGAGTGATGCGATTCTTGTAAAACAAGTCCAAAGAGGGAGAAGTAGACCAAAACTAGCATGATAGGTTGTTGCTACTGAGGATTCAGATGCAGTAAATCTAACAATAAACCCATAGGAATGACAAAGAGGATACATAACTGACTACAAACTGGTTGGCTACAGTTTGATGTAGTTGTTGAAATATATAAAGAACAAAATTCTAGGTGGACTAAAAAAAATGCAATGCCTGAAATTTTTTTCTTAACAAAATGGAATATATTTTACCAATAAAGTACATAAATTTGATTTTATACAAATACTACAAGTGTAAAGAATTTGTGCTTTAAGTCTATAGAATCATAATCATACATCTAAAATTTTGTGACATTGAGATAGACCAGGTTAGATGTGCACGAACTGTACAATAGAGACTTGATTGGCCTCAACTTAGAGCTTAAAAACACAAGCTGCATGCCTGAACCATAATGGGCATCTCAAACCCAAAGGCAAACCATCTACCAACGACCGGTCAATAGTAGTACAACATATACAAATGCAAAGATGAAAACATGGGAGATTATGTGCTTGTTTGGAAGAAATTACAATGAGATTATAATGGAAAGGAGCAGTGGATCCCAGGAAATGTGTGGCTAATAAGTAATTATTGTGAATGTGTGGTGAAATTAATGTTTGACTTTGACTGCAAATTCTAATGAGATTATTATAGTTTACAAACAAGCTTTATGAGTAGTCAAGGTGTGCCAAAGTATACCCAGACAACGAAAGGATCAAGACATGAAAAAATCATTTGGCGGAAAATGTAGGGCATCCAATATGGTGTTAAATGCAATTTGTGCATTTGTATGTGAGTGCATACATAAATGAGTAGAAGCCATGAGATGTGGAAGGTTGTCCCTAGCAAATATTGCACACCTCAAAATCCACCTAATATCTTAGTCCTAGTTGAACTCAGTCCAGTCCATTTAGACACTACAATTGCCTAGATCATTTTGTTCGCTTTTGCCCCAGTAGTCCACCGTCCCTTGAACATCATAGCTTGCTAGTTGGCCTACTCATCTTGCTCCACCGTGGCCACATACAATGAATCACGGACAAGGTAACAATTAGGAGCTTTCAATGGACATAGGTACTCGTTTGTGAAGCCAATGTTTCACCTCCCATATGCATTGTGTAGAATCTAAATCTATCTTACTAAAAAACTAAAAAGGAGCAATGCAAATCCTAATTCTAAAGGTCTTGGCTTTTTTCAACACTTGCATGCTTCTCTTTTTCAAATGGCTTCTTCAAACATCCCATAAAAATTAAACATGGACTAACACCACAAGTACAATAGAGGGAGAGAATGATTAGTTCGTGTTTGGGCCAAGGGGACGAGTAACCCAAAACACCTTCATTTGATATAAACTAACAAACCTTAGCGTCTTGCCGACGTGGAAGAACTCGTCTCAACTTCCATAGCTAGCAATTTGACCTCCAAAAAAGAATTGAGGTCAAGCATGACTCTTAGGTGAGATATATAGTTAAGCTGAAAATCCAACATCAACATTCTGCCATCTTTTTACGTGATAGGCATGAATTTGACCCAAAATTCCTCAACTTTGGAGACTCTTGGGATTCACCAAGTTACGTAAATTGGCCACATTATTCAATGTCTACTATTATGTATTGAAATAATCATAGTACACTGAATTCCATGTCAGCTCCAAAAGGGCCCATCACGTGTCTATGTGTGATTGAAAATTTGTGTCTCGGTCATCGAGGCAAAGTATGTCTCAGCCATCAAAGCTCTAAGCTCCCCTAAGAAATGGAGTGTCCAAAACCCAAATACTTGGCTAGAAACGAGATTGAAAGCCTCGACCAGCAACATGACTAAATGGTGCGGAAGCGTTTGGGAATTCTTGTAACAAGAATCGAAATTAAGAACTATATTGGAATAATGTCGCTTTTATTGTTTTGTAATTGACTGTGTTTCAAAAAGTGTAAAATGCCTTTGTATTTATAGGCAAAATTATACCCCAATCCTAATAGTATAAGGAAACTAGATTCTAAAAGAAAATAAACTAAAATCCCAATCTAAGAAGAAAAAAGAATAAAAAGATCAAACCTATTATAACTAAAAAGATAAAAATAATTGAAAAGATAAATGACAATTGTAGTAGGAAACTACTAATCATGATTATGTACTACATCAATAAAGGCCTCGGTTTGGCCTCGAACAGAGACGAAAACCTCAATGCAAATTCTGACAGAATCAATGCACTAATCTCATACGTGCAAACAATGAAACTCTGGACAATTGTTACAAAGCACGAAAATCCATAAACATTGAAAATTAGATTAAATCGGACTTAATCATAACTTCCAACATAATGATTGAAAAATGTCAACTCTCGAAATTAAATAAAATGCCCCTAAAAATGCATATAAATAAGACCATTGCACAATTAAAAAAAAAAGGTTACAAAGGGTACATCAAACTTTCACTCTAAAAATCTTAAAGATTGAAAAATTATCTCTCTAAAATATGCTTCGGATTGAAAGGGAGTCAGGGACTGGACCTCTTGATAATTGAAATACTATATCCGATTGAGAAACATTTTCCGGACAAGAGAACGTGAATCTCCATCTCACTCTTTCTATACAAAATATTGGCTTCTAAAGCACACCCAAATCCCCAAAAAGAGGGAAAATCCTGCCAAAATTGGGAGGGAAAAACTACCGTTGGCTTTAAAAAATAGTGTCTGTTTTTGAGGTCAACATCTACTACATATAAAAACCGCTCTTAACATCAGTCCATTCTACTTAACCAAACGCTTGGCCTAAGATATTGTAAATTAATCTGGGAAATGGCCTCATATCAAATGCAGTTCAAGGTGACTGCCACTATGAAAAAGACTGTGTAATACCCAGGCCAATTCTGGCACTGATAAGGAAGGAGTTGCAGGCCACTGGGTCCATGTCAAAAATTGCTACTCTAAACTTCTATGTGAATGGGAATAAAAATTGCCATTTTCAAAGATTCTTGATTACCGAGGCCAAATAATACAGTCTCAATATCCCAAATCAGGAAACACTTTACCATGACCTTTTAGGTTCAAGCTTAATCAAAACAGAACCTTACTTCAGATACAAGAGTTCACAGCCCTCAAGCACTCAAAATGGTGAATTTCAGCCTAAGCTTGAAAAGGATCTAGAACCGCCAGATAACATGAATAACCCAAGGTATCTTCAAATTTACTTCTCAAGGGTCCCAAAGTTAAGTGAAGCCATTCTATTCCTGTGACTCCAAACATGAATTCTACTATAAAGAAATTCCAGCAGACAACCAATAACAGGTGACTGCAGCTTTTAAAGCAACAGTATCAGGACAAACTGTTGCTCTATTTAGATCCATTCCTGGGACAACCGTGAAGCGCACCAGTAAGACAAGAAAATACAAAATCGAGAATTAAATTATGCGCATTCGGACAATTGTTGAAAACTCAAATTACTGACAATCACTGAAATTGCAAGATACGGATACAAAGACATATTGGAGATGCCTCAAAGCAATTTCCAGCCATCTACCATATAAAAGGGAGACAAAAGAATTGGAGCACCAAACTTACCGGCTCAACTTGAATTGCTTGCATATTATCAGGTCCACTACCTTGAACACGAAATAATGCAAGTCCATCCTCTTTATATGTATCATCTTCAAGTTCCTTCTCTGATATGTATTGCTTGTAACCTTCACTGAGACCACCCTGGTGACATTTAGAAAATGTTAACATTAACAATCAATCATCTGATAAGAACAGGGTGTAATATAAGTAATAACTTCACAAGAGATGAATTTCTGGGAATATATGTTCCTAGCATTTCTAGCTCTACCAAACCTTGAAGACGATAAAACTCTGAAATATGGCGAAGAACTGGATCGGTTCCTTTCCTTCATGGATGCGAGTCTAAAATCCACAGTAAACAAATGATTAGTACAATTATAAAACAGATATTAAAATTCAAGAACAAAATCACAGGCATCGAGGAAGGTAATGTGCCTGAGTAGGTAAGAACTTCAATGACTCAACCATCTTGCTTGCCTGTGAAGTTGCTGAGACTCTATCTCTCTGTAGTGCATGATTAGCAGAAGTTAACAATGCAATCAATAACAATGACTTCAAATAAACATGATCATGGCACCAGTAGATGTCAAATAAAGTTTAAAAAAAAAAAATCCCACATATACTTGTATCATTATTATATATTTGTTAGGAGGAGATGAATAAGATCCAGATTACTGGCAACATCTAATAAATCAAGAACTGATTTGAACCCTTTCAATGTTGCCAACACAAGTACAATTGGACATAGAGATATCCAAATAGCAAGATTTTTTCTACCAACATCAACTTCAGCTAGGCTTTAGAGCTGCAAGTCAGAAATTTTTGCTTTAATTTATCAAACAAATACATACAAAGTCATCATACTAAAAGGTAACTAATACAGTGGTTTCATTTGATTAACTTCAATAACATAGCTGCACGTCAAGGGTACCTGAGAAGGCCATCTCCCGACGGGGCTATTGAAAACAATACTCTTGTATATAAAATTTAAGCATTCTTCATGCGTATCCATAAAACTGTCTATTCACTCCATTGGTTTGTCCCCTAGATTATATATATGTTAACTATAACTACATTTGCACTTCTTCTTTTGTGTATTTATTTTCTGAGGATAATTTGAATACTTGCTGAAAAATTTTGAGTTCTTCGTTTTGAAACATTTGTCCGATTCAAAAAGTGTCATCTGGGGACTTCATTTTATAATATATCTCTTCATAAGTATCCTTGGATCTCAACTCTCCAAATAATTAATCATATATCTTCGATCTTCCCCATATCACTTATAATTTGCTAAACGGTATAAGAGTATATATGCATAACTTTAACCAGGAAATGTAGAAGCAGGACAGTGTAAACTTTTGTGACAGAAAAGTTATAGAGAATTGAAGCGTTTGTTGGCGAGGCGTTGTACAAAGTGGCATACAAAAAACTTTCATTTGTTTATTCGATCAAAAGGCCCTACTCAGTACTTTTATTTTCTTGTAATTATCTGTATTACAGGAGTAATTGAGGCTTGGGGTTTAGTGAGGGACTCCAAAGATGAAAACAGTGGGATAGAGGTGATGGTAACTTATTCTTAATTTTTATACAATAAACGAAGACTTGCTATGCATTCTCAGAAGCATGAATTAGTGTTCTTGAATGTCTCTCCAATTACAAGTAAACAACAAATTACCCGATAAAGTTGGGATCAATTACGCAAAAACTTTTTTGCCACTCTGTACAGTTCATTGCTATATCTACAGGAAAGTCGATTTTTTGTCTCCAATTGCGGTGCAAGTTCTATAATATTCAAGGAAAAAAAAAATGGTCTTTATGGACTCTGCTATTGTTGCTCAAGTACCAGAGTCGGACAATCTACAGTCAGATAAGGGTGCCTCATTGGAACCCTTATTTGAAGCACAAGGTTGTAGATTTCCTAAGAATCCCACACTTGGACACTTCTCCGTGTCGGTCACCCATATATTAAGGCTTTGTTTGAGCCCCATCTTTTGTGAAAATTTGAGTTTTGTAATAGTAATTTTTTGGGAGAAAGTACGGTTAAAAAGTAGGAAAATGTTTTGGGTTTATGTGAAAAATTATTTTGCTGAGAGGAAGTGTGGTTGAAAATAAATTTGGGAAAAAATGAGTTTTTAGAGAATGGGGCTCAAACATTGCTTAAGTGTATTTTTGTAATCCCTATATTCAATTTTTCACATCTGATTGTGTTTCATGAATTATTCCTATCATATTAATTATATGTATAGTTACTATATGAAGCCTATACAGACTTTAGCATGGAAATGCTTAAAAATATGTGCTTGTAGCTAAAAATTAAATCCGCTGGTTCAGAATAACATAAATTTTCTCATGATAGGAAGTATAAGAAATTAAGTTTTTCCAATAAGGAAACATGATAAAGGGGAAAAACAACCAAATATTTTTCACCTCAGAACTTTGCTTCCCCCACCATGTCCCAATGAGATGTTCCTCTACTTCTTCGCCGGGATACGAATAGTGAAAGATATAACAATCCCCACTGTAAAACTTTGACTGATCGGACGCCAGAAGAAGAGTCTTCCCTTTACCATTCACTCGCCAAACCTACCAATTGAAAGCAAAAAACCGTGGATAAGGGAAAAAAGGAACCAAGAATACGGTTGTAATGAAAAGGATATAGCTATTATACTAGGTGAGCTTACGAATATGAACAGGCTGACGAAAATTACAGCCTGATATTTTTCTTGGGGAAGTTACAGAAGCATTTTGACAAAAAAGTGTTCCAATATATGTCTTAATAGCAAAGATCTGCCAAGACCCCTGAATATCATAGAACTAATATATCCAAGACTTCTAAATTTCTTTAAAATGTTTTTTTAAGCATTTCATAAAATAAATAATTCAGAGATCTTAGGTACTATCCTCATTTTCTTCCACAATTCATTATGATCTCCAAATGCTTTGGGAAGGCTTCCTATTTGTTTCCTGAAATCTCTTACTATATTATCTTCAGAGTTCCATCCCTAAAAGTCTTTTGAAAAATATCCACCTCATTAATGCATGATCATTTTCTCTGCTTCATAATGTTTGCCAAATGAGAACGGCATTGTTGCTTTGTGCAAAGCTAAATGAAGCTATCAAGCATGTATAAATGTGATACATTCTAAGCTTGGTTGCTTGGGGCTAAACATGCAAATGATAACTTTGTAGATTAACTTCTTTTTCCATAGAGAACTAGCTATATCCCAACTCCATCTCCTAATGAATTCTTGTCTCTTTCACATGCTTTTCCTTACTAATATCTGTTTCACGATATTATAAAATAGAATATTAAGCCCCTGTTTGGTAGCCTTTAATTTTGAAAAACTATGTTTTTTGAATAGTATTTTTTGGAGAATGTGTTATTAAAAAGCAGGGAAAAATTTTGGATTTACGTGTGGAATATTTTATTGTTGAAAATGAGTACGAGAAATAAACTAAATTAAATTAAATTAAAGGCCACCAAAATGGGGCTAAAATAAAATAACCTATTGTCCAATGCACTAGATATTGCATCAAATCCATCTGTAGACTGAAAGGCAGAGAGAAGCACTACACCTGCAAATTGCCCGTGCAGTCTATATAAAGTTGAGTTTCTTCCTTGGGAGATTCAGCTTTCAAAAGGCCCTTCACGTTAAGCCCTTGGCGCTTTAGAAGTGCTAGAAAGCATCAAATTAAAGATAACGATGAGGTTAGGCTACTGAGGAAGTTTTGGATGGCAAGTGAATAATAATTGAGAGAGAACAAATCTGCCATATGTACTACAAACCTGCAACCTTCCCTCTGCCCTCCTCAGTTACTGCCACATTTGTTGATTGGTGCCAAAAATCAAACTTCGAGCGGAAAGTAATTGTTTCAAATCCCTCAATTAAACGGATTATACGAGCTTTAGGTCTATCAGCAGTAGCCAGTAATTCCTAAACAAATGAGACCGGGAGTAAGACAACAGACAAGGATATGTATACGGATCTGCAAATCCAGAAAGCACGTGAAATTACATCAGCAGCTTCACTTGCAATTTTCCTTTGGTCAAGAGAAGTATTTCTCCCCGTCCATACAAAGACTTCTGCCCCACAGTCTAGAATATAGCATTTATATGTGTCTAACAACTTCCTTGTCAAAGAATCAGCCTCAACAGATTGCATCTGTCCTTTCTCAACACTTGGAATGGCACACACATATTTGTCAGAACTACAAGCAGAGAACTAACAGTTTCACCTTATAGAACAAAAATCATAATGGAAATTTTGCATCAAATGTTTGAAATATAATCAAAAAAAATTTCTCTCTGTTGGGAGGGACAATAGAATTTAAGTAAAGATGTACATCTGTTGTACATCATGGGATCGCAGTCAAATATCAATGCCAAATAAAATAGAAATGAAGCAATTTTGTACTCTTCTCCAAGTTAAAGACCAATTTTCATCCCTATATAATAGAGGAAGAGGGAATAGTTATACAACAATTAATTTCACTGAAGTATCAGTTGGAAAATTTATATATAATTCAAACTGACTACTTTTCGACATGTAAGAGGAAGGAATATGATGTTGCATGGAATATGATGTTGCATGTAATATCTTGCTCATATTATTAACCCAGGTCATTCAGTGTCCCAGAATATCATGAATTTCTTGATCAACACGAATGTTAATAAATGTGGGTGTAATTAAAACATGACATGAAGATAAGAAGGAGGCCAGAAAGTAGTGTGAATGGCAGAAACTTACCATAAAAGCTTGCTAGGAACAGTATCAGTAAATTCGGTCTCATTGGTGGCTGTTTTCCTTGGAAGTGGAGCAAAGCCACCAAACAAACCCCAAAATTCTCCAGTTTCAGCATCAGCCATTAATTTCCCATCCTCTACACAGTGAAAAGAAGCATAGGTATCAGGCAATGGGCATTCATTCAGTCACTTCCCAAACACCTAAGTACTAGTGCACTTACCAATAGCCGCTATCTCACATTTGCCGCCGTGATAAGTATCTTTAATGTACTGAACAACTTCTAGTGCTTTAGCCCTCTCTTGAATGGTAGAGTTGGAACCGTTGAATTGGAAGATTTTAGACTTGGTATCAAGAATAAAAATATCATCGTGATTGAGTGAAGATCGAACAAAAGGCACCTGTCATGCTTATAAGAAGTTGATAATGAACAGATCACTTCAAGGATGAAACAAAATAGAAGCGCAGATGAAACATGGGACTTGCCTCTTTCACTTGAACAACATGCTTTCCTTTGCATACAAACAAACGGGTCTTGTGCTCTTCATCCTCAGCATGCTTGAAGCCTGATGCAACTCCACCTTCTTGAGGTATTATACAGGGCTTAAAATAAGAAAGGAACCTCTCAGTTTCTTGACCTTGTGGTTCACGATATTGAACAGCACGCCCCCCAAGAGTTGCATCTAGTTCAATAGTTTTAATGGCTGCAGTGCTGGCTTCATCCTTCATAGAATAGCGTTTAGAATCAGATAATAATTTCTATGACAGAACTTCAATCTGATTCTAATAATCAGACAACACCAGAAAAACTTACTTGACTAGTATCTTTACCAAGCCAATAGTGAATATCATGATGAATGGCACCACTTTTCGAAGCAGTGGTCTGCACGAAGAAAATTAATGGTTATACCCATAAAGTAGATCCAACAATTCACAACAACGATGAAGGTTGAGCCACTGATGAAATTGAAATAGCAATATGTATAGAAAATACATAAGTTTGTGGTTGAATATTTGTAACAAACAGTGAATTAAGGCAATGTCCGAAGAGTCAGCTTGGATATGTATAGAAAGTACATAATTTTGTGGTTGAATATTTGTAACAAACACTGAATTAAGGCAATGTCTGAAGAATCAGCTTGCTCATACCGAATGCCAATCTCTTTCCAAAAAAGTTGTGAGGGCCAAGACAAGTATATTACTGGATCATATCATTTGCACTGAGTATATCACAAAGGTGACATATATGGTCCTCTTTCCATGACTTCTTATTTCTTTTGCCTAAACTATTTTAGCGGTATACTACCCGATCAGTTTGCAGGCATTAATAGTAATTTGGGCCTTAGCTTTTTTTTTCACACAATTAATATTACAATGATGTTCAAAAAGCTAGTTTTAGAGACTAATCAACACTACCCCAGAAAAAGAAAAAGAAAAAAACACTCACCTTCAAAATCACATAGGAATCTCCGGTAAAAAATTTGCCATATGAAGACTTTGGGACTGGGACAGGATTGAATTTTTCAATTCGCCATATCTCAGTTCCACTATATAAAGTCAAGGACCATAAAAACAGAAAGCAAATACATATAGATCCTTGATGGTGGGATATCAGTCATAGTTGTTGGTTAACTTTGCAATTTAAGACTGTACATTAATAGGTTCCTCTTAAATTCTGGGAAAAAAAATCATTTTTCAAACAGGAAAGATAATAACGTATCAATAATAACTTGATAGCTACTTCAACAAAAGTTCAATACGCTAACATAAGGATACGCCTTCTGTCCAGCCCCTTGAAAAGCTGGATCCAAATTTCTCAATGAAATGGACATTCTGACTGGCTTCTTCAAAGTAGTCTTTTCTCAACTTTGAATTGAAACTAGATTAGCAAGACCTTCGACAGTCATTAACTGAATACAAAAACAACCAAAAATGAAAAACAATCACAGGAAATAAACAAACCACCAAAAGGAAAATCAAGAATGGGCAAAGCAGAAATACTAAACTAGTTTCGGTACCAAAGCAATCAGAGAAAAAATAAAAAAGCTTGTGTTAAAGCTAAAATGTGCCCCTAAGAAAATAGTGAATTTACTTAAATGAGAAGAACCCAAACAGTCAAACTCAAATGTTAATATTGATCCAAAAACAATAAAATTCAGAATAGAAAGATCTGAAATAGGGAGAATAGTGAAGCTTTGCAGGATAACCAAGACTTCATTGCTTATTGTCCTCTGCAAATAATTAACAACTTTGCTCAATGCCAAAAGAGAAATTTTACGAACCATGAAACCTCACGACTATAATTGCCTTAACCAGAAGACAAAATTCAGTCCTAAACCTTCAATGAATCCCTACTTCTGACTTACATGTAACGCTTTCATTAGGAGAATTTGAAAAATACTACCACCAGAAAGCAACCATGAAAGACAACCCGGGTTACGTTTCACTTGTGAATGCAATAAAACACACCTAAAGCAACTTTTCATTGTCAATTCCATCTAAAAGAAGCAAAAGAAAGTGCCTCATACATGTTCCTTGAAAAACTTGTTTTCAGCCCATTCTCTTGTACACTTGGAACAGTATGTCTCCACAATACTATTGTTTCAGGTTTTGCTTCTCATTTTTATCATTCATGCAGACTTCATTGCATGTCAATTCAGCTCAAAGATACTCAACATCTTGCAAACAAGCTTCCATGATGCTTGCTTTTCCTCGGGGTCAGGTGGCTAAGTTTCCACGTTTGCCAATTAAATGTTTGATAAAATGTCCCAACTATGCTGCAAAATTTGAATGCCTCAATAGAATCTTCACCTGTGGATCAAACCACTTCAAATGGCAACTCTCTTACGGTAACCCCAAAATGTACCTCAATTTCAATAGCTTCACATTCATTGTGATCAAGCCAAACATGAACAAATCACATTTCACCCGGTACCAAAAACAAAATATTCCAATCTCTACGAGAGGGGGACTGCAGCAGCACAAGCAGAAGAAGAAGATTTCCAGAACCCCAAAAAAATGAAAAGGCGGTGCAGTAATCAGATGCCATAACAAAATTCCATCCAACATTTTCTTTCCCACGTTGATGTTCATAAAATGTCAACATCTAAAAAATATGCTGATCGATTCATCCAATCAATTTCCTTTTTAATCAAAAAGTAGACTGATCGATTCAGCCTATCAATTTCTTTTTTATCTTTCATCGAGTTCATTCATCTTGAAATTCTAAATCTCTTATTTAAAGAAAAAGAAGATTTTCCAGCGCCCAAACACACGATTTACGAAAAAAGACATTGTTGTTACAACATTCAAAAACAACAAACTTTAAACTTCTAGACCATTAACATAATAAACGCCAAATCATCGGCACTCCTCTAAACAAGAACAAACAAATATGTAGTAATTTTACATCAAAATTCAAAATCACTCAAAAATCAGGGTAACACAGAGAAATGCAAAAAGGAGACAGAATTCAGTACCTTAATTACCTTATAATCTTGAGGTAATAATTTTGAAGCTGGCCCAAATTAGATCTAATCTAGTCACACCATTAAGCTCAATTAACAATACCACTTAAAAAACAATTTTTTTTTTAAACAAGAAAAGATAAGTCTCAAATTAAGAAGAAAAAAGAAAGAATTTTTCGCTGTAAGAGAGAGAGGAAATACGTGCGAGTGTGTGCTTGGCGGGGGAGTGATGATTAGTTGCCTGTCAGGCGTGCTTATCACTAACGGTAGCTAAGAAAAGGAAGGCCCCCATGACGGAGAAATGAACTGTAAAGATCCATTTAACAACAAAATAACGTAAAAGAATTCAAGAAAAATAATACATTGCTTAATTTTTGTGATTAATGTATAATTAGAGTCAGCTTTTCGGGTAAAAATACAGTGAAAAAATAAATCAGGTGGGTGAAAATGAAAAGTAGCATCATAGGATGAATTTTTACACGATAGATAAGTCTCAAGATTAGCGTTTCAGGGGGCAAATATCAAATGTGTCCAAAAGCCTCTTAATCTTGTCGCTATAATTCTAATTTGAAAGTCAAATGAAGATGGTCCAAGAAGAGCGTTACATTTTTTGGGTTGGCGATGGAACTGAGTTCCGTTTTGAAAGAATGAGAAGGAAAGGTTGGTTACGTGGGGTCACAGTCCATGATTCATGCATGACTAAAGGCCAAAAAGGGAGTATAATACTCATTTGTTGCAAAGGGGAGGATACCTTGCCAGGGTATGAATTGTAAAATGGGACCTTGTGGATGGGCAATGGGATGCATGGTAGGGACCATGTCATGGCAAGTTTTGTTGAAAATTGAATCAAGAAATTGTTATTATTTTTTTAAAAATACTTATAAGTTATGAAATGACGGAACTTGAAGATAGTAAATGAGAGATAAGTTACGAATGTGCATAAAAAAAAAAAAAAATTAGACATTGAGTAATGTTTTATCATCAATAGTATGAAGTATCAATTTAAATGACATGGTAGGTCCAATTAAGTCCTTGTTTGGTTCCCTTTAAAAAAATAATTTATTTTTTATATTCGTTTCAACTACACATTTACACAATAAAATATTTTACATGTAAACCCAAAATATTTCTTCACTTTTTAACCATAAATTCTCAAAAAAATCACTATTCAAAATATTATTTGTTGACCCCAAAAATTGTGCCAACAGAATTTCGTTTGATACGATGTACACGTGGACATATTCTTCAATATGTTGATTACGAATTTAAATACATACTCAACTACTAATCAAGCGTGCTCGAGCAAATAAGCAAAATGTATACTTGTAGAAGAAGAAAATATAAAGCAATAAATAGATCTTACGTGGAGAAATATACAATGCTCCATTTCGTATCTCTAAAGATGCATGATGCATCCCTTAAAATGTTGCAAGGACGGCTATTAATAGTGACTAGGTCAACGTGATCACCGTTGGATCTGATCCCATGTGGCTTGATTTGCTAAAACCTGGTGTCACATCAACCCTATCTCTCATTAAATACATTGACAGACGTTGGACAAGGGGTCAGTCACTTTATATTTCTAGGCTAATATTCCTGATACATATTTAATAAAAACATCACATCAATCAATTCATATGGTACACTGATCGGACTTTCTTCTAAGCGTTTGGGACTTCGAATGCTAAGGGGTTCGACAGAGAGGAGTAACCCACTTCAGATGACCAAAGACTGGAACCACTTCAGAGAGCTCCAGCAAAGCGACCTCGGAAATTAGAGTTCTTAGCTAATTGAGGTGACGTGGAAAAAAGCTGTCTGAATTGATGCTCATCTATTCCAAAGTTTTAGTGACGCATATATGCCGAAGGGATGAGCTTCTTCGGCATGTGGATGAGGTGGTTAAAGATTAGAGAGGTTGTATAGGGTCAGCATTGAGAAGTGTGAGGCATTATCGAGCGTCATGCTGGAATGATTAGCCGTCATTCGCAATTCCAGAAAAGACAGTTGACAATGATTCGACTTTCGATACACTCAATCGTCATCGCATAGAATGCGCAATGATGGTCGTCAGGGGCGTGCATATTTTTTCCCAAGCGAATTAGCGATCATAAGGGTTACGGTGTAATCTGGGTCTCAAAATGCGAAATAGCAAATGTCGTGGGAGGTTCGGATTTAATTGCCAAGTCAACAGCTGGGAGATTTGATTTTGAATTCAATGATCACGATCAAACCTTGTTGCCTATAAAAGGCCAAGGCCTTAGGCAGAAATCATTTTTCGCCTTTTGCATTATTTTCTTTGTGCTTGAGTTCTTTACGTTCTTTGTGTGCTTTCACATTTCTCTCTTCCCCCAAGCTTTTTGGGTTGTGACTTTCAAAAACACTCTGCCCCTTTCTCGAGTGATTTTGTAAGTATTTAAAAATTTTCTGACTTATATAACTCAAATGGTGTCTTCTTAGTTTGAGGAGAGGGTAGATCTGAGGGAAGTAGCTTATGATATAAAACTCTTAGCCCCTCTCCGGATGAGCATGCTCGTTACCCGAGATTGGGCTGTGTGGCCATTAGTGAGTTGATTTTAAAAGCAGGGCTTCGACTGCCATTACATCCTTTCTTTATGGTTGTCCTTAGGTTATACAGATTGACACCTACCTAATTCGTCCCCAATGCATGGGCTCAACTAGTAGGGTCCTACTTCCTTTGGAATGAGACCTCGTTAGGCAAAAACATGTCCCTCCATGTTTTCCAAACCCTCCTCCAACCTAAGTCCTTAGGTAAAGGGGATTCTAAGGAATTGTACTCCCTATGTCCATGGGAGTCACATGCCCCCTTTGTTACTGATCATAACTAATGTTTTTAACGAGGCCACATAGAAGTCCCATGTTCATGCGCGTGGCATTGGATCAAGAGTAAATAAGATCAACAACCGAGGTTGTTGTACTAAAACCCGAGGTCGTTTTACTAGAGTTCTTCGAAGTGGTTCCAGTCTTTGGTCATCTGAAGTGGGTTACTCCTCTTTGTCGAACCCCTTAGTATTCGAAGTCCCAGACGCCTAGAAAAAGGTCTGATAAGCGTACCTTATGAATTGATTGATGTGACGTTCTTATTAAATAAATGTCAAAAATATCAACCTAGGGATATAGGGTGGCTGACCCCTTGTCAAACATCTATCAATGTACTTAATGAGAGATAGGGTTGACGTGACACCAAGTTCCAACAGATCAAGCCACTTGGGATTAGATCCAACGGTGATCACGTTGGCCTGGTCATTATAAATAGCTGTTCTTGCAACATTTTGAGGGATGAATCTTTAGAGATACGAAAGGGAGCATTGTATATTTCTCCATGTAAAGATCTATTTATTGCTTTATATCTTATTCTTCTACAAATATACATTTTGGTTATTTGCTCGAGCACGTTTGATTAGTAGTTAAGTGTGTATTTAAGTTCATAATCAACATATTGAAGAATACGTCCACGTGTACATCGTATCGAACGAGATTTTGTTGGTATAATTTTTGGGGTCAACATTATTTTTACACAATAATGGTTGTCAAATAAGGACTGAAAGAATCTCATAATACCATATTTAATTAGTCTTATCATTCAATGTCACCTACATGTCATATAGACTAATGTTCTAACACATTGATGCAAGGTTAAATTATTCATAATCATTTTTAAAAAAAAAAATTAATATATTAAACCACGTTTGACCAATGAATCTCTTTGTTGCTTAACGTTTTGACCTTTTGGTTCAGAATAATATATGTGATTTCCTCATATGTAATCTAATTGAGTACTTGACGGAAGAGGATTGATCGCATGGCTACGCTTTGACAAATATTCTCGAAGCATCAAGACACGAAAAAACATATGTAGTACTTATAGTTCTACACTATGTTTCTCACGTGCTTCTATATTTCAAGGACCTATTATCTCGATTGAAGCTTTCCTCTCCTGGAAAAATGAATAACTCCTTCCATTGATGCTCGCTTGAAGGAAAACTTTTGTTGTCAATATCCAGCTTAAGATCAATTCTCCATTAAGAGCAACTCATTTGGCATGGAAATTGTTACCGTAGGAAAATCTATCAATACACAAGAGACATTTTTTTTATTATTATCAATTCCTTATGATATTTAGCATTTATGACAAGTGTTTAAATCATAAATATTTTTTTATCAAATCACTTTTATTTGCAAAATTCTTAAAACCCACAAATACTATCTACCCATCCACGGCACTTGCTATATTGCATTTCATGACAAATTATTGTCAATAATGTTTCTTCTCATTATTCATATTTTTAGTGCAGCCACCTAAATCAACATTATATGAGGAGATTTAATGAGTTATTCAAAGAATTATTGTTGTCCACTTCAAATAGTTAATCGACATGTGAGTAAACTTGGAGAAATTGCTTGTAATGTTCTTGAAGTTGGTTTAGTTTAACCTAAACCTTCAAAATTATGGAGTCCCAAGTGCCACAAATGGTAATGATATTCTCAAAATTATATAGTTCAGTAACCAGTGTAATTTTTAAAACTCCATTAGAATCTATATATTCAACACGTTTTTAGACGATTGGATTTTCTCTTTCAAATATTATATTGCAGGTGTCGATTCTTGACATCTAAACACTATAGTTGGAGATTGTAAGCAAACACACGTTACATTATGGTCGTGGGAAGTTTCACCAAATTCATTTCCTCGTAGTATCCATACAAATGTCGTTTTGGTTCTTCACTTTATATTTATATTTATGAGATGACAAATCATGGCTTTTTAGAGGAGGTGATAATTCATTGCAGCAATTTAAGTTGGTGAGAAATAAATAAATAAATACACACACATTATCAAAGTGTTCTAAAAAGCTTGTCTCAGTGGCGCCTAGGTTTGAAGCTTGAGCAAAACGCCCAGCTCCATGCTTAGACTTTTTTCCCCCCAATTCTTAAATGGTTGAATTTTTTCTTTCCTCTCTTTCATCTTCCCTAAGCTCAATTTATTAGTTTTTTTCCTTTTCTAAAAAGTCTTTTATTCGACTTTAACTTATTGATTTTTTTAAAAAAAAGTTCATTTGACTTTAATGTCAAGTTTTTAGAAAAAAATTACTATACAAAGTTAAAAATGATTTTATCTAAATAGTTAAATAATATTTAAGTTATGGCGCTATCTACATTATGTAATTGTAATATTGAGACTTGTTATTTTGTTGAGAACTCAAAAGCATATACGAAGTTCCTAAAAATCTATTAAGTAGGAATTGTCTAATTGAAAATTGAAACTATGAAAAATATTTTAATTTATACATTTCGAAAACTTGAGATTGTATAATTGACTAACGATAGGAATTATTAAGTAAC